AGAAAGGGTCTAGGCCCGAAACGTCAGCCTTTCTGCTCCTATGATGCTGCTTGGCCTGCTGTGTTCATCCAGCTCTGCACCTTGTTGTCACAGCAAGTGATTAGTAAGGTTAATGGAATATTGTTGTTTGTTGAAATGGAATATTGGCATTGCCAGGGATGGAGGGTATGAGTTATAAGAAGAGACTGGATAGGTTGGGACTTTCTTCACTGGAGCATAGGAAGACGAGGGGTGACCTTATAGAGGTTTATAAAGTCATGAAGAGTATGGATAAGGTGAGTGGTAGATTTCAAGACTAGGGGGCATATTTTTCAGGTGAGAGGAAAAAGATTTAAAAAAGACATAAGGGGCAATTTTTTTACACAGAGTGATTCATGTGTGGAATGACCTTCCAGAGGAAGTGGTGGATGTGTTGTACAGTTACAACTGTACAAAAGACATCTAGATAAGTACATGAATAAGAAATGTTTGGAGGGAAATGGGTCAAGTGCAGACAGGTGGGACTAGTTCAATTTGGGATTATGGTCGGCATGGACTGGCTGGACCCAAGTGTCTGTTTCCATGCTGTATGACTGTATGACTCTATGAAGTTGTACAGGGTATTGGGAGTATCGTATCTATAGTACTGTGAAAAGTTTTGGCCTCCTCATTTAAGATATGGCATAAATGCATTAGAAACAATTTACTCAACTGATTCCTGGGGTGAGAGTTTTGTCGTGAGGACAGGTTGGACGAGATGGGTCTTTATCCATTAAGAGAAGAATGATCTTCTTGAAACATATTCTGAAAGACTTTATAGGCTGCCGAGGGGATGGATGGTTCCACTTGGGGGAGAGATTAGAACTAGGGAGGAGTGTTTAAAAATAATGCATCTCCCATTTAAGATGGAGATGATGAAATATTTGTTTCTCTCAGAGGGTCATGAGTTTGTGGAACTTGGTTGAGAGAGTGGTAGTGGCAGGCTCATTGAATGTTTTTAAGGCCATTAGATTCTTGGCTGACAAAGCAGTCAAAGGGTATATAGAGAATGAGCAAAAAAATGGAATTGAGGCCACAATTGGATCAGCCATGATTTTAATGAATGATGGAGCAGTTATTACATTTGTATTTCAAGTTTACAAATGGGGAGAGTAGAAACATATACTAGCACGAGACAAGTAATTTCCATTTCTCTGACGCAGCAATCCCAAAATAACCTTCTCCATTGGAAAACAATAACATAGAGCACATCAGAAAGCAATAAGATAGAGCACAATAGATTTCTTGTCGATTTATTCTTTCAGTGCTTCTGCACTTGTTCACTTCTAATAAAGTAGTACTTTATCTTAATACTCAATCTATTTGCAACATTTGTTGTAGAAACATGACATGACAGTTCAGGAGGGAGATTTACTTGAACGTGACTTGAAATAGTAATTCTTCATTTGATTCACATTGGAGAAACATAGGTTTTGCAGTGAATGAGTTTTGTAAGGAAATAATGATGAATTTATACTAGTCATTGATTAGGCCATGGGATGTCTATGCAGTTTTGGGTGCTTTCTTCTCGAATGTTAAAGCCATACAGTATTGATGAAGTGTAGTAATTTAAATGTAAATTAATTCAAAATTGTCATTGAAAGAAAAAAATAAGATAGGGAAATTTATCTCTGGAGTGAATTATTGGAATATTATCCACAGAGTGTGGCTGAAGCTAGAGACTTCTTGCTTTTTTGTTTGTTCATGAAATATGGATGTCACTGGTAAGGCCAACATTTATTGCCCATCCCTAATTGCTCTTGAGAAGGCAGTAGTGAGTTCTTGAACTGCTGCTGTTCAAGGTGGAGAGGTAATACCCACAGTGCTTTTAGGAAGTGAATTTGAGGACTTTGACACAGTGACAGTGAAGGAATGGCAATGTCATTCCAAGTTGGGATGGTAAGTGGCTTGGATGGGGACTGCAGGTGGTGCTGTTGCCATGTGTCTGCTGCCCTTGTCCTTCCAGATGGTAGATATCATGGGTTTGAAAGGTGTTGTTGAAGGAGTTCTAGTGAGTTACAGTAGTGCATCTTGTAGATGGAACACACTGCTGTCACTGTGGAGAGAGGGAACGTGGAACGTGGTGGATAAAGTGCCAGTCAAGCTGGGTACTTTGTTCTGGATTGTGTCAAATGTCCTGAGCACTCATAGAATCATAGAATCCCTACAGTTTGCAACCAGGCCATTCACCCCATCAAGTCCACACCGATCCTTGAAGAGCATCCCACCCAGACCCACCCCTGTAACCCTGCACTTCACGTGGTTCATCCACCTCGCCTGCACATCCTGAAAACTATGGGCAATTTAGCATGGCCAGTCCACCTAACCTGCACATCTTTGGACTGTGAGAGGAAACCAGAGCACCTGGAGGAAACCCATGCAAACACAGGGAGAATGTGCAAACTCCACATGGAAAGTCACCAGAGGGTTGAACCTGGGTCCCTGGCATTGAGAGGCAGCAGTGCTAACCACTGAGCCACCATGCCACCCACAGGTAGGAGGAGTGTATTCCAACTCATTCCTGACTTGTTCCTTGGACATGGTTGTCAGGCTTTGGGAAATCAGGTGATGATTATTTACCTCAGAATTGCTAGCCTGTGACCCTCTTTGAATATAAAATTTGAAGCTGAAGAAGAGAATATTTGAAGGCAGAGGAAGGAAAGGGAGCAGAAGCATAGGGTTTATTTTGCATTCTCTGTCAATAAGCTGGCACAGGTATATCGCTGTCATTTTAACTTTGACAATAGTGTGAAACCAATTCTATCAAATTAGCTGCCAATTGTAGGCACCATGTCAATTTTGCTTTCCATTTAAGTCACTGGAAGAAACAAAATCAAGTGCAGTCTGTTACTGGCAGTCAACTTGATATTGCCCATTCTATATCATCATCCAAAGCTTATTGGCCTCCTTCTGTGATGTAAATACTCTTGGAATGAAAACTTGTTACCCACACTTCACTTCTAAACATTTGATGCATTCCCAGTTTCAAATGTTTATTGGGGAAGATTTAAGGTGAGAGGAGAGAGATTTAAAAAAGACATGAGGAGCAAATTTTCTACACAGAAATGTTTTCATTTGTGAAATGAACTTCTTGAGGTTCAATTACAACATTTAAAAGACATTTGGCTGGTACATGAATAGGAAAGGTTTGGAGGGATATGGGGCAGGAGCAGGCACGTGGGAGTAGTTTAGTTTGGGATTATAGTCGGCATGGACTGGTTGGACCGAAGGGTCTGTTTCCATGCTGTATAACTCCATGACTCTATGTCAAATGAAACATTTAAAACTAATTCCAGACTTGTGATCTTTCTTCTTGCCAGATTGCTCTGGCTATCAAATTTTGTACTGATTAACTTTTGCTTGATTCTGCTAGTAAATCAAATTCTAGTAAGTCTACTGATAATGGCTTTACCTTAAGTATTTTCACAGTCACAAAACTGTATTCGTTGCTGAATTGTGTTGCTTAGAAATTGTGTTTCTAACAGTTTCTAGTTTTGATTAAAGTAGTCAACGTGAGTACTTCCAACATTTTTTGTTTTCATTTCAGATTTCCAGCATCCACAGTGTTTTACTTCTATAGGAATCGCTGGTTATGTAGTTTCAAATGTTCACAGTTAGAATGAATGGCATGCTTATACAATGTGTGCACTATGTGATAAAGATGTAAACTAGTATAATTTGGGGTTTGGATTTTAAAGTACAGGCAGATGGGTTTTGGCCAGTTCTCTGAAGATAATGTTTCTTTAAAAAGTTTGAGAAATAATTTGGAACAGTGACCCAATTACATCATTTCCAAGAAGACATCTGACTTCAGACAAATGTCTGGCAGGACACTTGCGGTGTTAATGGATTGAATGTTTATACTACAGAATTTTATATCAGACCAGAGCCCATTACCTGTTCCCTTCGGTTCAAAAGGGCAACAGTTTTGTTTTCCTCACAGTTCAACAAATCAGGAGTTCAATTTAGGAGGGAGTACAATTTCTCATAGCAGGAGAGTTAAGTTTTAATTCAAGGGAACTGGTCATCCTAGCTGAAGTGTTAGTTTGTAGAGCTTCTAAGCCAGGAGAGCTTGTGTAGAAGTTTTCAAGTTGTGAGAACTCAGATAGTTTAGGCCACCAGAACTGTGAAAGTTTCATGCAAGTAGATCAGAAAAGAATCATAAAATTGTCTCCATAGAAGGAAAAGAAACTGGGAAGAGTCAATTAAGTAAGCTATTAAAGAGTTGAGATAGAGGTGATGTTTTTCTAGAATTGAGTATCTGTGAAAAAATAGTGTTAGGAAATTGGTTGAAACTTTATTTTTGCTGTATAAACTATGATCATTTGAAATTTGGTATTCTTGTCCTGATAAGTGAGATGAAATAAGATCAGCAATATGTCTCCTATTTTAGTAATATTCAAATTCTGTACTACCAAGTGACTGAATTCCATGATTTTAAATTACACTGTAGATTTGGAAAGATAATCCCTAAGTATGAGCAACATTATGTTTATAAATAATGTTTTTAATTATTACTGTATCTAAACTGCTGTACCATCCTGTATCAATTCCATCTCTTAGTATTTATCTGAAATAGATTTGAATAAATAAACTTTAAAAGTTGACAGTGCATTATGTTAAATGTTGTTGTTCTAGATTTCAGATGCTTTAATCAAACGCGTTCAAGTATCTCAGGAGCAGTGGATTAAAGGAGCTTTAGAAGCCAAAATAAATCCTGAATTTGACCTGACACTCGACAATGGCCCATTACTGCAGTCAATCCACCAACTTGATTTTATTCAAATGAAAAGTAAGTAAAAATGTGTTAAGCAATAATACAATATGGCCTTAGATTGACTTTTGCAAGGGGTATTTTAATTTATGCCAAAAACTTGACGTGATACAGTTAGATTTACAAGCTGTTCTGCCAGTAAGAAACATTATCACGTACAAGGCTTGTGTTATCACAATGGTTTCCAAACTGTTTTCATTAAAGTTGGATTTTGGTGGTTCCTGTAGTCATCATATAAGCTATAATGATGGTATCAAGCAGACACAACTTGAAGATAATCACAAAGCAAAATGGAAGCATCATGTCCCTAGTATTCTATGTAAAATGTTTGGAATTACTCAGAATGTGAAGAGTAAGCACAAAGGTATTTTGGTTGTGATATAACACAAGACAAAGAAAGGCTGCTATTCCTCTACACACATATCAAATCAGAGAATAGGTACATCTGTATTTACATGCTTCATGTCCACTTTTGTACGTGACCGAATAGTGAGGCCAAACCCAGGTAAAGACAGAATCATTCAAATAGCACTGTACTTAAGTAACAGAAATGGTGACATGTCTCTCTTTTTCAGTTTTTTGGTTATGTCTGAAAGGAAAACTAAAGCCATTGGGCTGCCAACTATTTTTTTGCTGTTGTGTATGAGAAGATAGCTTCTTTTTCTAACAGAAACCAAGTCCACCCTTTTAGAGATAACTTTATTTCAGTTAACCACACCATAACACTCGCACCCCACTGATTGCTAGCTCCCTGTATTTACACATCACATTCACACCAATTAACCCTTCATTAATATATCTATTACCCTGTTCCCTCATTCCTTTAGGTCTCAGGCATCCCCTTAGACCTTGTTAGGTGATAACATTTGCTGTCTCCAGACAAGGTGAGTGAGGAACCTCATCTTGTCTGTCTGAAGCAGCAACTCCTGCATCCCCACTTCACATAGCTACATGCTTCAAGCCTATTTCAGTGGGGTTTTGAGGTGGAGTGCATTTCTTACACTGATGAAACACTAGGGATCATGGCAATGAATTGAAAATTGTACTACCAAATGCTGACAGTCTTTTAAAATTATGTGCTTGAGGTCTACTCTGTCCAAATTACACTGACTATAGTGAAGGGAGGCAATATGTTGGAGTAGGGTGGATAAGGTCACAGGAGGCCTTCTCTATGTCAGGGACTGAATGGTAGCCCTAACAGTTGTGAGCCGTAGCTTTTGTTTTGTGCAAGCCATCAAGATAACTCTATTTCAGAACAGTCATGCGAGCAATTTTTCATCTTAATAAATTCTGTCTGAAACTGTTGGTAGCCATGTGCAATGTTCTAGTTAACAATAGGAATATTGATCCTTTTGTGCTGTGGTCTAAATTCATTCCCTTTTCGCAGATTGACAGTACATTTGATACTTCTTTTTTGGATGAGGGAACATTTATTTGCAGAGCCAAATGTGCAAGACATGGACTAGTCTTTTAGGAATTCAAAACTTAACCCTCTGTTCCATCTTCAAATTCAGACTGGTGCTTAATATTCTTGTGCATGGCCTGACTTGCCTGTCCACCTTGGAGAAGAGCTAGGTAATGACTCTTTCAGTTTTCCTCAACTCCATGGTAATATGTCCAAGTTGGTAAATTGAAGTCAAACTACCTCAATGTGGCAGATTCTGTTACTGATACTTGGACTAGTCAGGTCCTCAGTCACTGTTGATCATTTTCCAGCCAGCTTGGCTATTAATGAGATTGGAGAGTGCTAGTTTCTGCTTGAATCCAATAATTCCACAAACCCATTTGGTTGCAGATCATTCTTGGAACCAACCAAAATTGTACAGATATTTGCTGGTAAACTGCAGGATTTCTGATGTTTAATATCTAGCAATATTCACAAAAATGTTTGGGTTCCTGAATCTTAACTTTTGTTAAAGTCAGAAGTCACACGACACCAGGTAATAGTCCAACTTCACCTGATGAAGCGTCGATGCTCCAAAAGCTGGTGATATCAAATAAACCTGTTGGACTACAACCTGGTGTCGTGTGACTTCTGACTTTGTCCATTCCAGTCCAACACCAGCACTTCCACTTCTTAACTTTTTTTAATCTATGCCTAAACTTTGTATTCTTGGGTAGATGATGCAAGTATCTCTTGAGAGATCATTTACTGGATATGTATAGGTCTGTCAGCAGCTTGTTTTGGAGTTGGGATTGAGGATGCACTGCACTTCTGGAGCTGAGAGAGTGCCCTTGCTAGCATTTATTCTGCAAACACTACAATTAGGCAAATTAACCTATTGTGAATTTCAGTATGGTTTGTGGAATGTTGCTGTTACAAATTGATTGTCTTAGTATAATGGGTAAAGTTGAAACTGTGTGTAAATTCATTGAACCACTTGATTAATTTGCTTGATGTTATTTCAAATCTCCATATCCTAAAATATAGATTTTGTGGAATTGGGAACTGATTGCAGGTTTATTAATGCTATTGTGCAAATGCAGAGTTAGACTGAGGTGTGCTTAGTTCCTTCTGCAGTACCACCTGCACCAATACTACAACTGGAGAAATGTTGTACTAACAACAACAATGCCACACTTGCATGGAAGGCACCTCCACTCAACCAGACACAGATCGACGGCTACATACTAGAACTTGATGATGGAAATGGTGGGCACTTTCAGGTAAGAATTTCATCTTTCACATTGTAATGATATTTTAATCTGAAAAGATTAACTTAATTTTCAGACTTGCCATCAGTGAATGTTATATTTGAGCAGTGCTTTCTTTGAAAATTAGCAAACTTGTCCTTTTATAATGATGTTTAAAACAAACCACAAATATATTTTTGTGCTTACCAGTTCTCCCTTCTCTGCTATACTGAAGGATACTCCTTGTTCCATGGAGTAATGTACTGTCGGGCAGTTAGGTCCTAAATGGTCATCATTCATTTACAGAAAGAATGCCAACAGGCTATTCCTTCAAAGGGCCATCATATCTGAGCCTGATCCTATCTTCAATCATGTGGAATCACTGGATAGCTAAGGAAAGTCTGTTTTGTTTCCCCCCTCCATGCCTAAGTAGAGGGGACCAGCCCAGCTGAGATCAGACCATGAATTGGTGATTGAGTCTGGAATCTACTCGGCATGTCTGGATCAGCTGCCTGCTAAGGGAGGATTTCCCTGATTGCTGTATAGAAATTGTGAATATGCTCTTTAAAAAACATTTTTGAATTTATTAGAATAGTGCACTGAGAATATGTTCCTCTATTTGATAGATTCACTGATCTATGGGCTTCATTTAGTAAATAGAGCTATCAAATTTAGTCACTTTAAAATCTAGTTACAATTGTTTGGAAATACAAAGTTTTCAATAGCTATGACTTTTGCCCTGGGCTGATTTCCATTCTTTATTATGAATGAATTCATTTCCACACACAATAAGTTCTTGATGTTACCAAATGACAGGATGCAGATTCTAATTCTGTACTCCAAGAAAGAGCAAACTTGAAGCTAATGACCGTAATATTATCTTTGACCTCTTTATGAAAAAGTGTTATATAATGATCATAGTTTTATGTTAATTTGATCATAATACTTCAGATGAGCTGCATGTGTTTGCAAATGGTACTAGGCTGTTGACCATGAACAAATGGAAATTTAGCTATTCCATGCATTGTCTGATAACTTAGTAAACTTACAGTGAATGTCAATTTTCAATACGGATATCAGCATACTAACTCTAACAATTGTTGATAATTACACAGATTGCCCGAAAATAAACTCCTAAAATAAAGCAAATCCCACTGAAATCCATAGTATTGTGTTGGACTCCCAGACCAATGGATCACGTGTAATTTATCCCTCAAAAACATTTGAATTTGCCCACTTTCAATTTAAAATGGCTGCTGTCAAACAAAAAGACTAATTAGTTGCAGTGAGTAACTAATTAGTTGTAGACAATACGTTAACTGATAACTCACCACCAAAAATGTAATGGGTAAAATTCTGTATTCTTTTGTTTCTTGGGCATAAAATTGTTGTGTTCGTGATTCACTAGAACCATTAATAGAACACAAGGTAGATGAAGGGCAAACTAGAACAGGGAATGATTACACAAGCTCTCAGCTCCACAGCTGATCCTAGACTGACTCTCTAGTTCCTGCCTCCAGTCACCTGACCCACTCTCTTATAGAATCAACACACACCCAACAACCTACAGAACACCCCTCCCCCTTTATTTCCATATTCCACTTATCTATACGTATACCATACATCCAACAATTATAACTATTGTACAAGCATTGTAGCTAATATCTATACATAGTTAGGAATATACAAAAAAGGGGAAAAGAGAAAATTAATTTTTTGTTCACATTGACACGATCAGGCTCTCAGGGGATGGCATTTCCTAGAAGGCCATCTTCTCGTTTCAGGAACCTCTTCCAGTGTAGTCTCCTGGGCTTCCAGCAGCTCTTGCTGTTCCACAGGCATGTCCCTCTTTGATTGGCTGTTGTTGGCCTGTGATGCTGCTGTTGTCTCCGCCCTGGGTATGACTAACCCTGGCTTGGAGACACACGATTCGGTCGAAACCACTGGTCCCACCTGGACCGGCTCGGTATTCTAAGGAATTTCCTCCCCATTGGTGAGGTGTAGTGACAAGCTGGTCCGCGTGTCTCCTGCAGACCAGTTCATCCCTAGTCTGTACATATATGACAATGGTCCTGTTTGAGCCACCACCACCATGGGTATCCATTTTTCCCCAGATGTATAATTTAAGGGCAACGCAATCTCTCCTTTTTGAAATACCCTTGACCGTGAGGTTCCTGCCCTTCTGACCATCTGTCCTTGATTTCATTCTACCACTTGTCTGGTCTGTTCCAATTGCAATAAGTCAAACATGGTTCTCAGCCAGAGGTTGAACATTAAGGACACCAGCGAGCAGTGGGTTGTCACGTGTCGCGTGTCCCTGCACATGTTGAGGAGCTTTTTGAGTCACTGCCCTAGCAAACCCTCTCCTTTAAGGCCTGCTTCAAGGTTTGTACAAATCTCTCCATCCGGTCGTTTATTGTTGGGTGTTACGGAGCCAATATCACACATCCAACTCCGTGATTTTCCAGATACTCCTTGAACTCTTGCGCCACAAACTGTAGACCATTGTCAGTCATGATTTGTTTGGGGTTCCCAAACCTGGAAAATATTTCATCCAGTCAGTCTATCATTGTTTCCACTGATACTGACTTTATGACCGCCACCTCTTGGATCACTTGGAACGAGAATCCACGACCACTAGTAACACCCATTCCTCTAATGGTCCCGGGAAATCGATGTGAAACTTCTGCCACAGTGATTGAGGCCATTCCCACAGGTGAAGCGGCGATTACGGTGGCAGCTTCCTTACTTAATGCGAAGGATTTGCATGATCCCACTTTCTCCTCAATCTAGGAGTCCACATGTGAACACCAAAAGTAGCTCCGAGCTATTTCTTTCATTCACACCACATTGGGGTGCACTTGATCCAGCACGTTTCCACTTAACAGGGGAGGGATAACAACTCTCATTTCCCACATTAAGCGCAAGTCTTATATGGACAAGTCCCACCTCTTGTACGTGTAAAGGCATAGTTCTGGGCGGTTACTAAAATGGGTCCTCCCTCTCAGGACTAGATCCACAACTTGGCTTAAAACCTGGTCATTCCAGGTAGCGTTCCATACCTGACTCGCTGACACCAGTACCTTAATTTCCTGGGAAACGTGCATAATTTTCAGGTTCCAGTCAGGAACATCCTTATTTCCCCGTGGTTGTAACCTTAACAAAGCATCTGCATTGCCGTGCTTCTCTGACTGTGAGTATCTGATTTCATGTGAGTAGGCTGACCAAGCCTGTGCACGTCTCTGCAGGCGTGCTGCTGCAATTTTTGGAATTCCTGTACGTGGGCCAAAATTGGAGGTTAGCAGCCTGTGGTGAATCATGAAATGCCTACCGTAAAGGAAATGCGGAAACCTCTTAAAGCCGGAACATGATGCCCAATCCTTCCTTTTCCACTTGAGCATACTTCTCCCCATCATTTTTAGCGTCATTGATGCAAACTCAATGAGCCTTCCCTCTCCATTGGATAAGATATGTGACAGTACAGCATCAACCCCATAAAGCGAGGCATCGCACACCAACTGCAGTGGCAACTTTGGGTTGAAATGAGTCAACACTTCTGAACTTTTTAAAGCTTACTTTACCTCCCTGGAATCCACCTTACATTCCTGGATCCACTTCCACGGTTGCCCTTTTCCCAGCAACCGAAGCAGGGGTTTTAGCATGTTTGCCAGATTAGACATGAACTAGACAAGTCCCAAGTACGATCTCAGTTAAGACACATTCTCTGGTCTAGGGCCCTTCATGATAGTCTCCATCTTCTTGTGTAGTCCCTCACCATTGATTACATGGCCCAGGAGTCTTTAAAAAAAAAACTTATACTTCTCCTTTTTCACCTATGGGCCATGTTCCTGCAACTTTTTAAGGGTTTATTCTAGGTTTTTCAAATGCTCCTCTTGAAAGGACCCATAACTGAAATATTGTGCAGATAACACTACACACCTGGTAATCCACTCAAAATTTGGTCCATGGCCCTCTGCAACAGAGTTAGTGCTGACATGACGCCAAAAGGCTGTCACTTGTAGCAGAACATTCCATGTGTGTCACAATCATTCGTGACGACTGGGATTCCTTTGTGACCCCCTACAATAGGCCCGCAACAGATCAATTTCTGAGAATTTTGTTCTCCCAGCCAGCCTACTGAACAGGTCTTCTCTGAGTGGAATGGGGTATTGATCCACATACAGGGCTGGATTTACTGTGACCTTAAAGTCACCATAAAGCCTCACCATCTGTTTTTAAGACTGGATGATTGAAGTGGTTCATTTACCGGTGGTTACTGGTTCCAGATTCACCAGCTGTTCCAGTTCCACCTCCACTTTAGGCCAGATGGCATGTATTACTGGATATGCTTTCAGCTCCTTAAATGAGCGTCCCACTTCAACAGAAGTTTAATTTCTACTCCTTTCATTTCCCCCAGGATTCTCTTGAAAACATCCTTTTACCTGTCCAAAATCTCTTGCAAATTCACTTTTGAGTTCACCAGCCAAGTAACCATGAAACAACTTAACTTTAATTTCTGTAACCAGGAGCGTTCGCATAATGCAGAGTAGTCACCTTTCACTATGTCGAAAGGCAATTTGGCACACTGGTCGCTTAGCTGTACTTTTACCAGTGTATAATTCCTTCAGTGGCTTGTTCAGTGTATATCCCTTGTGTAATCTTGGCAGGCTTCAATGGCAGCGCCTTTAACTTTTCCCTAAATATTGATTCAGGAATCAGAGGCACCACTGCACCCATATCCATTTCCATCTTTACTGTCTTACCCTCTAATTTGGGAAGAACCTAGAAAAGATCAGCTTCACCTCGTACCAACAGAATGTTTAACTGAAACTCTGCTGACTCTGGGCCTTCTGATTCTCCCACAGACCCAGCGGCCTCCCTGTCTACTCCCTGGCTGGCAGCATGCATGTTATATCTTGTCCTCGGAATTGTCTCCTTTAGACACCCCTTCTATTGCATAAGGTGTACTTGACAATTCAGGCAATATGGCCCACTTGCTTACACCAGCTGCACTGTGCTTCTCTACTCCAACACGTTGACTCCTTGTGGCCACTCTTGCCACATCAGTGGCATTCTATGGTTGGTACCACAGTTGGATGAGTTTCTGCTATTTTATGCATCTGAGTGTCATCATTCAACTGTGCTCCACCAGCGGCCAACTCCATCAAGGTAACAATTTTTAAAGCTGCCCGTAATCCAGCTCTGTCCCTGTTCATAGCTTCTGTTGGATGGCCTCATGTCAAAGGCCAGAAACCAAATGGTCCCGCAAGATATCTTGGAGGAACTCACTGAATTCTCAATATTCTGCTAGCCCCTTTAAGGTGTCCACGAATTGGATGATAGATTCCTTCATGCTGTACCGTTTATAAAAATGGAAATGTTCCACAATCATCGGTGATTTTGTACAAAATAACTCCCCAACAGTTTGCATAGCTTCAGGAATGTCTTCTTTGCAGGTTTCTCTGGTTGTACCAGACTCCTCAGAATCATGAAGATCTTGCTCCTAATGGTACTCAAAAAAACCAATACCATTACGTCTTCAACCACCTAATTTGTCTTTAAAGACGCATCAAAATGTTTGGTGTACTGTGTCCAACATTTTAACTCGTCATCAAACGGTCCCATCTCTCCGCCATTTTGTTTTCCAGCCAGTGGGAATTTTTCCTGCCACAAGATTTTAGTAGCTATTTACAGCCTGAGTCCCCTTGATGAACACTCTCCACGTCAGCCACTTCTTCACCGACTGTGTCACCCACAGCCTGGTTCCCCTGGTGACTGCTTCCCTCGAAGTTAACTCCACAATCTCATGCTGTTTTTGAAGTACAGGCACATCCTTCCTCCTGACAAAAAACACAACAGCATCCGTGCACAGTCTGTGGGCCAGATCCTACTCTCGTCACTAGCTGTTGTGTTTGCATTTCACTAGAACCATAAATAGAACACGAAGTAGACGGAGGGTAAATTTGAACAGGGAATACTTTATTGTGCAGCCTCTCAGCTCCACATTTAGTCCTAGGCTGCCCGTTTAACTACTGCCTCTGCGTCACCTGACCCATTCTCAAAGGGACGACACACACCTAACTAGATACATAACAAAAACAGGCACCGTGTTGAGGAGTGAGGATTTGTGCTGCTAACTTTATCGGTGCTTCCTGTTTCTACATGCCTATAGGTTATCATTTGAAGATTCGAAATATGTAAATCAGAATCTTGTGTTTGTTTTGAAACCCTTCTGCAAAATGCATGAAGAACTAGATTGAGTATCTATCTGTCATTCTCAGACTTTCTGGCTTAACCCAGCAGCAGGGGATGTTGTTCGCTACCTCTCTGACATCAGGAGTGCTGCTGCTCCTAGCATCACAGTCCTACAGTTTGCTGCTTACTCACTACCTCCAAATGTATCCCTCTACCCCCAGATTTAATGAAAGATCTCTTCCTTACAGTAAGCATGTCAGGAAACAGTCCTTGCCTCTTCCTTAAAACAAAGTCCAGGGCCCAATTTCTTTAGTCTCAAGAATGCCCCTAAGAACAGGTATAAATGAGTTTCCATCCTGTATTTTAACGGTGTCATCCCCTCTGAAAGAGGGCAACATGGGAGGTCACCACAAATGAGAGATCCAGAGGGATTTTTTAAAAAGTTTAATTGTTTACTTTTATTTGTTTCTGGCTAGAATACATGGATTTAATTTGTGAACTTGATTTGTAACAGAAGAATTTGAGAGACAGCCCCAGGATGATTTGTCAAAAAAAGTTGGCTGGAAATCGTTTGCAATATTAATGCTGAATAAAAAACTGGCGAAGGCATCAATTTAAACACAACAGAAATGTTATATCAGCACTTTAGACATTTGAATGCTGTTATTGCAGACTAATTTATTGGCTTATGTCTCAGATTTTTGTTTACTATTTGGTAGTGATTTATGTACCTGTACCACTTGTTACATAAAGAAGCTAAAAGCCATAAGTACTGTAGCTCTGATCATACATTGGCATTCTCCCCTTAACTATTAACTACCATACTTGGAATTTCAGGAGGTGTATGTTGGCAAAGAAACTGTGTGCACTGTAGATGGACTTCAGTTCAACAGTGTCTACAATGCAAGAGTAAAAGCCTTTAATTCAGCAGGTTTTGGACCTTACAGTAAAACAATTGTGTTGCAGACTTCTGAGGGTGAGCAATACTAAAATACCAATTTAATATTACAAAGTTAACAACTTCTATGCAATTGTATTTGATTAGAATTGACAGTATTATCTCTGATATGTTTTGTTTTTGATACAGATCTTAGCCATTGGTTTTGTTTCTTGTCAGAAAAAGACTTTGGTTCACATTTTGCTTTTCAGGTCTTAATATTCTTTCATCTCCCTCATATCTATACACTTGAAGTAGCCTGTCAAAATAAATTAAATGAAAAGTAACGTCAATGGAAAGTAAGAAGTAAAAATTTGTTATACACAAGTATGGGTGAGTGTCCTTGGAATCAATTTGTATTTATCAAACAAAAGAATAATCTTGAATAGAATATAGTAGCATGAAAGGAGGGCACGTTGTGCCTGTGCTGGCTCTTTGGAGGAGCTATCCAATTATTCTAATTAGCAGGTTTTATCTTCCACAGTCTCCCACAGTATTTGCTATGTGAAGCTAGAACCAAGCACATTTTGTCATTGATGTTTCCCAATTAAATCATTATATGGTGGCTAAAATATGACCCCTCTCTATAAGTCAGTAAATCAATCAACAACTATAAATTTTACTCTTCACCTTAAGATGACAGATTTATGAATTAAAGTTAGATTCATGCTTATGCTAGTCCAATCACATTTAAAGAATTTTTAAAATAGAGATTGAAGATTTTGCAATTTTAACACACTTACAGATCTATAAGAGTTTGGCACCATTAATACACAACTTGTGCAAGATTTAATTATTTTCTTCATGTGTACAATCTCCTGGCATGTCAAATATAAACAATTAGCTGAAAAGTTTATATATTGTCAAAAGTAGCATATTCTAATGAGGTAAAGCAGGTGCAGAGAGGACATAGCAAATTATTCTAATTTCAGGTAATTCATTGAACAAAAAAACCAAAGAACTGCAGATGCTGGCAATGAGAAACAAAACCAAAAATTGCTGGGACCATTCTTCACTGAAGAAAGGTCACTGGACGTTAAACGTTAGCTCTGCTTTCTCTCCACAGATGCTGCCAGATCTGCTGAGCCTTACCGGCAATTTCTGATTTTGTTTAAGATAATTTACACATCTTTAGACAAGCAAATCAAATGTACTCTATTAAATACACACTGCCAATTTAAAAATGATGGAAAATTCAGAACATGATAATTGAAAGTATTGGTGTTGAATATAAGAAATATAGACTGCAAAGAACATCTGGGGGCTGAACCCTACTTTAGCCTTTGGGAATGCTGAGAATATTACTCTCCCAAAGGATTATAAAATTTCCATCAGAGAAATAATTTATGCTTCTGCTTCTGAAATTCCAAGGATAAATATAAAAGGTATACTTATCAAATATTCTCCATTTTTAAAAAATCAACCTCTTCAGAGTTATTATGACAGAGCAGGTGGGACTTGAACCCAGGCCTCCTGGCTCAGGGGTAGAGGATTACAACTGCACCACAAGAGCCCTGTCCATTCTCAATCATTAACTTGTCATTTGTTAAGCAGACTCTCTGCCACTGTTCTCATCGCTATGGTCTTTGATATGAGCTGTCACCTTCTCTATTATCGGGTAGTTAGTGTAAATCCATAAAGAATAGATATAGAAGATATTGAAATTTATAATGGTCTGTATGAAAGCAAGTCTTTTCTAGCTAAGCTGGTGCAGTAATGCTGAAAGATAGTTTGACCATTACATCACTGGTCTTTGTATCTCTGAGATTCTTTATACAATCCAGTAGCACCAGTGTCTCAATCAACGTGAAACACCGCTGGAAAACCAGGGGTTAGGAGAGTTATTTTATTAGTTTAAAACCTAGTCTGTTGTGGGAGGCAAGGGAGGATATTGCAGAGCCTCTGACATTATTTTCAAATCTTCTCTGGCTACTGGAGGGGTGCCAGCTGGAGTGATATAATTATTCAAGAAGGGTGGTAAGAGTAACCAGGGAACTATAAACCAGTGAATCTAACATCTTGGTAGCGAACATATTGGAAAGAATTCTAACTGACAAAACTAATTACCACTTGGGGAGGTAACAGTTGATCAAGGACAGTCAGCATGTCTTTGTAAGGGGGAGATCATGTTTATCAAATTTGATAGAATTTTTCGAGGAGGTGCCTGGGTGTGTAAACGATGGTAGTACAGTTGATGTAGTCTACATGGACCTCACAAAGCTTTTGATAAGGACTGGTATGAAAGACTGTTTAAGAAGCTAATAGCCCATGGGATCCGGGGGAATTTGGCAAATTAGATTCAAAATTGGCTCGGTGATAGAATTCTGAGGGTGATGTTGAAAGTTGTTTTTGTGACTAGAAGCCTGTGACCAGTGGTGTACCACAGGGTTTGATGCTGGGTCCTTTGCTGTCTGTAGTGTGTATTTATGATCTAGACATAAATGCAGGAAGTATGATCAGTAAGTTCACAGATGGCATGAAAATTGGTGGTGTGGTAAATAGCAAGGACAAAAACATTAGACTACAGGACAGTAGAGGTGGGCTGGTCAGATGGGCTGAAAAGTGACAAATGGATTAATCCTGAAAAATGTGAGGTGATGCATTTTGGGAGGACTAACAAGGCAAGGTTGAATGGTAGGACCGTATGAAGTAAAGAAGATCAGAGGGACGACTTTGGTGTGCATGTCCATTGACCTTTGAAGGCAGCAGGACAGGTAGATGAGTTAGTTAAGGAGGAATATGTGATACTTACCTTGATTAGTCATGGCATTAAAAGAGCAAGGAACCTATGTGAGTTAGGCCATAGCTGGAGTAGTGTGTTGTTCTGGTCACCTTACTATGGGAAGGTTGTGATTGCACAAGAGAGGGTGCAAAAGAGATTCACCAGATGTGCCTGAAAAGAATTTATATAGACTGGCTTGTTTTTCTTAGAGGAGAGAATGTTGAGGGGGGTCTGATTGAGTTGTTCAAAGGGATGAGGGGCATAGACATGGTAGGTAGGGAACAACCTTTCCCCTTAGTATAGGGGTCAATAACTAAAAAAAAAGTTTTAAGATAAGGAGCAGCAGGTTTAGAGGGAATTTGAAGAAAATCTTTTTCACCCAGAGGGTTGTGGGTATATGGAACTCACTGCCTAAAAGAGTGGTAGAGGTGGGAACCCTCAAGACATTTAGGAACTATTTAAATGAACACTTGCAATGTCATTGCATACAAGGTTACAGGCCAAGAACTGGAAAAAGGGATTGGATGCTTGACGACTCGCATGGACATGATGGGCCAAAGGGTCTCTGACTGTGTGACTAATTTGCTGCAACATCAAATACACTGATTCAAAAGGCTTTCAGAACTGTATGAAAGACTGAAATTACTTGGTGTTGATGGTAGTTAAAAAGTAGTGAGTTTCTAGTTATTACTAAGGCACAGTACATAACATTTGACCCATGTTCTTAGTACATCTTTGTACTCAAGCCTATGGATGTCAAGATACATACAAAAGCAAAATACCATAGATGATGGAAATCTGAAATAAAAATCAGAAAATGCTGGAAATGCACAGCACATCAAGCAGTGTCTGTGGAGAGGGAAATGGAGTTAACAGGTTCAGATTGTTGACTTTTCAACTAATACCTTCCAACTCTAGTAGGGAGAGATCTTTAAATAAGGTAGAAGGAAGCCAAATTGGAAACACCGGTACAGAAAGTAATATTGTCAGAACAGATGTGACAGCATTGAAAAAAATTGGGAGAATGAAATGCAAAGGAGTCCTCACAGTAAGTGGGTAGTTGGAAGTACAGACAAGGTTGCTTTTTGGAGCCAGTGGGCTTGTCGTCAGTGGCCAGTTCCTCAGAAATGAAAATTGAGATATTGAGGGAAGGAATATAACAGATGGAGATGGACTTTGAGGTGAAAAAAGGTTGGAAATTGGAGGCAAATTATCTAATTTTTCCAGTTTGAAGCCAGAATCTGAAACAACATCAATTGGATGCCCACCGTGAAATGAAAACAATAGCAAAATACTGTCGATGATGGAAATTTGAAACAAACAAACAAAAAAAAACAGGAAATGCTGGAAGTATTCCAGTGGATCTGATAGCATTTGTGGACAGAGAAAATTCTCATAATAGGTCATCAACCTTAAATGTTAATTCTGTTTATCTCCCCATGGCTGCTGTCAAACATAAGGAGGAGACAGGAAATGAGAAATTGTTGAAGTGGCAGAGGGATAAATATCATTTCAACCAGCTATTGACTCAACTGATTGCTTTTAATTGTTTTTCTCCCCTTTTTTACCTACAACTGTCACTTTGAGTTGCCTGTTTCCTGACCTTAACCATCTCCTTTACATCATCAATATCTAATCTGGCCTGAAAGGTATCCATTTCTGCCTTCAACAGAGGCCCAATTAGTTGTTATCCACTAACACTATCCTCCTCAGCCAGGCTGAACATTGAATGTTAGACGTCTTTTTTCAAAAATGTACTTCTTCCAAGTAAAATATCATGCTATGGGAACCCCTATAAGACTTAGCTATGCCTGCCATTTTGTGGAATCATGGAACGTTCCTTCTTCCAGACCTGCCCAGCCCACCAACCCCATTTTTCCATTTCTGAGCATAGGCTATAGACAAATATCCATGAAAAGGTCACTAGTTCCCCTTAATACCTGACTAAATTCCTTTAAGGACTTCCATATATTCTCAGTTTGTCTGTGTTGCATCTGTTTTGACAATGCCGCCTTCCAAACCAATGCTTTGATATGTCTTTGTTTTTCCTCAACCAAGGATTCCAACTGTCATTGTTGACAGGGCCTTGATCATCCCTGTTCTATTTCCTAGACAAATTCTGTCTTGTCTTCCCTAAATTCCAGAACCACAATATGCTTTCCCTTCACCTCATTTTCTGCCCTATCATTCTCCATCATTTCCATCAGCGAAAGCACATTGCTGCCACTAAACACATCTTGTTTCCCCACTTTCAGCATTCTGAAGGGACTGTTCCATCTGCGACATGCCGATTTACTTCTTCAATCATTTCTTACATCCTGAACGTTCCCAGAGCAGTCTCCCATGCAAAAGATTTAACACCTGTCCTTTTACCTCTTCCTTTACCAATGTCCAAGGTCCTAAGTATTTCTCTTAGCTAAATGAGCAACTTAATTATGCATTCAAATTAGCATGCCACATTGACCGTTCATGATGTGGTCTCCTCTACCTTAGGCAGATCAAACACAGGTTGATTGATATCTTTGTGAATCAGCTCCATTCAGTCTGCAAGTATGACCCTAAAACTTCAGACTCCTGGCATTTTAATTCTCCACCTCAACCTATTCTGATCTCTATCTTCAGTCTCCTTTTAATGATGCTGCACATAAGTTTATGGAACAGCACATTGTTTTGATTAGGCCATCAGGACTCAAAATTGATTGAAACAGTTTTAGATGATAACATTTACCCCTGATTTATATAATCAATGGCAGTTGATAGCACTAATCTTGTTTTTACCCACTTACTCCTTTTTTTGTTTCTTTATTTGTCTCATTACCATCAGCTTTGCCTTAATTACCTTATTAAACCTTTTGTGAATTAATCTTTCCTGCTTTTACTTTATCACATTCTCTCCCCTTCCTTCTTTCTGTCTTCCTTCCTTTCCAACCCCTGTACATGCTTGAACCTGTTACATTTCATCCATTTCTAACAGGTCATTGGTCTGAAATGCTAACTCAGTTTCTCTCTCCAATAGTGGCGTGTCCAATGTGTTGAGCATTTCAACATTTTCTGATGTAGGATAAGAATTTGGAATCTTATTCTATTTCAGCCACTTATTTTCAATTTGATTGAGCAGTGGAAGTCAGTGAAAGCATAGCTAAACATTGAAACAAAATGAAACAAATAAAACTGCCTTTGTTCTGCAATCACAGCATGGCTTAGACTTCACATCAGGAAACCACCCCTAATTAGTGAAAGGGACTTTCTTTTCTCAGATGACCTCTGTGACTGAATTTGCTCATTTAGACCAAATTGTGGACAATTTTGTGTTGGGGAGGGCATGGATGATAGGTTGAAACTGCCCAACTCATTTCATACACAACCTTTACAGGCAGGCAGATGTATTCAAAGGATAATCAAAGGAATGTTCTATTAGATCCTTCATTGCATTGTGAGTAAAGTATCTCCCAGTGTAGCTCTAAGTCTACTGGTTAGAAGGTTAGAATTTGGACTTTTTGACTGTTTAGTTTGGGTGCTACAGCTGACCTTATCCCTGTGCTGGAGAAGAGTTTAATCAGTAGCCGTTCCTCTCCTGGCAAGTCTAGATGCCTGGACATCAATTCAGAGTTTGGCTATAAAAACAAAGTTGCTGGAAAAGCTCAGCAGGTCTGGCAGCATCTGTGAAGGAAAAAACAGAGCTAACGTTTTGGGTCCGGTGACACTTCCTCAGAGTTTCGCTATGCTGGCTGTCAATCCCCAAACCAAGTCTTGTAGACCAGCATGTCATGCTCACTAGCTAGGCTTAAATGAAAGGTGGCCACTTGATGTAGAAATAAAAGAAAACCAACAATCCCGCATAATTTCTCAGGAGAGGGGGCCTGAGATGGAGGAAAGGATGCAGGGGGATGGGATATGTTTCTTATTATTCTGAAATTGCTGTTCTGTTATTCCATTTCAGTGGCTTGGTTCACCTTTGATCCCACCTCTGCCCATCCGGATATCCTTCTGTCTAATGATAACCTGACTGTTACGTGTAATAGCTATGATGATCGTGTTGTGCTAGGATCTGTTGCATTCTCCAAAGGAATCCATTACTGGGAACTGTCTATTGATCGTTATGATAACCACCCTGACCCTGCTTTTGGAGTGGCAAGAATTAATTTAGTAAAAGATATGATGCTAGGCAAGGATGATAAGGCCTGGGCCATGTATGTTGACAACAACCGTAGTTGGTTTATGCATGGAAATTCCCACACAAATAGGTAAGTGTTTCATTTTCTAACTTGCAAAACTTTCAAAATCTTAAATAACTAAATTTACACTGATATTTACCACTTTCAGGTGCGCGAAAGGAAGTATAACAGCTGCAGTAATTTAATGACTAAATTATTAAATGAATAAGACAAACAACTTTCTCCGGAAATTGTTAATTATTCATTCTTGGGATGTGCTCAGCTATTGCTGCCTTGAAGGCATTAAGAATCAGCTTCATGGTGGACCTGGAGCTATGTAGACTAGATTAATAACAGTGGCAGTATTCCTTCCCTGACTGCACTAATAAACTAGTTAGTGTCTTTTTTTTTACAATAATTTAGTGGCCATGTTGTCATTTTCTGTTCCTGGTGACACAACACAAATTATCAGCTTCATTAAATTCAATTTCACAGGTTACTATGGTGGGACATGAGTTCAGATCCTCTGAATTGCTAGTCCAGTATTACAGCCACTACATGACACCAGCCCTTTATCAGAAACTTAGCTACAGTGAGGCTGGGTCAGCACTTTACTCAGCATATCCATGTCCACATTGTCATATTTAACATAGTTGTTCTCATCCACCCCACTCCACCTCAGACAGGGTAAGGTTCTGACTACTTGTGCATGTCTATTCACATGGCGCTGCTGCACTGAGGGTAACCTGAGTACAGGCTGTGTGGGATCTCATATAAACCACACCGTAACAAGTTGACATGAGGCAGTGTGTTTTTCAATCCTTAATGGCTGCCTTGAGCTGTTTTCTTGCTAAGAGTTCAAAGGGTATCTCTGCCAGTTAGTGATCAGAAGAGCTGCTGGGGTGAGGGTAGCGTCAGCTAGAAAGTTATTTTTGGCTGACCCCTTGAAACCTTCTTGTAAACACCAGCGTGAGAATCCTTGACTGGTACAGCATTCGTCTTTTATTTTAACTGGCTTATTTAAAACATTTCAACAGTTTTGTGACACTGAAATATCAATAGAGTGTATTAATGGAAATATCAGACAAGAAATTTGTTTAAATAAATGGAAACAGTAATGTTAGTTTCAATAAAATTTATTTTCACATTTTCTAGGACAGAAGGTGGGATTTGTAAAGGTACAACAGTTGGTGTTCTCCTGGACCTAAGCAAGCATATCCTTTCATTTCACATCAACAATGTTCAGCAAGGCCCTGTAGCCTTTGAAAATTTGGAAGGCATCTTTGTGCCTGCTATCAGCATTAATAGGAATGTCCAGGTAAGATTGGACCATGATAAAAGATGTGTCTTCATTAGACTCTCTTAATGTGAGAAGAAAGATACACATAATGATATATCATCAGTGATCCATTGGTGACATCTGGCACGTAAGTCCAGGCAAGTTAATCCTAGATTTCCCTGATGACAATTCTTGGATGATATGCAATTCTCCAACCCTCACAGTACAGGTCATAATATCATAGTAACTTGGTCCAATTATAGCTTCAATCTTTTATTCATCAGTCTGTCCTGTTTGAATTCTGTATACTAGGGGCTTAAGAATAGGGTTTTCTTAGTGTGGTTGCCTCATTGGTGATTGAATCTTTAATCCAATACCACGTCATGCCAGCATTGAGATTTAACGTATATGCACACAAATGGCAGCATAGTTTTATGTTTTATACATGACTTCTGGGAACCCATGAAAAGAAAGAGCTTTACAGCCAGTTAGTGCGTCCCAAGAGTAGAATATAACAGAAATTTATTGCCGTGTGTACTTTTACTTGAATAATACAGTGAAGGTTTTATAAGTCACACCACCACATGGCCTACATCAATGACAGAAGTCATACATAACAATAAAAAAAAAGTAAAATTAAGACAAAATTCATCACAGTTCAGTTAATAGCTCCTGGGCTTGGGGAAAGCCAATCAAGGAACAATGGAATACCCTGAAGACACAGCCGGGGTGAGACCGCCATGCCCGGCCGAAACCGCCTGCTGGGCCACTGGAATACCTGCATGCCGAAGATTGGGACAAGACCTCCATGCTGGTACAACACCGCCACCGGAAGACTGCCATGTGGGCCAAGACCACCTTTCTCTTCCTTCAGGTGCCAGGGCCTAGCTGCAGACATGGAACATCAGCCTAGCCTTCAAGTCCAGGCTGGGGGAGTCAGCTCTGGACCTGTTCCTCTCTCGCCAACTGGGTGGAGTTTGTGCGTCCAGCTTGTCCTGACATTGTTGGCGCTACCACTGGAGGCCTCTTCCATCTGGCACTCTCCGTGTCACTGACTGCCAGTTACGGCAGAAGCAGCCCAGAAACAGGATTTCAAGTTTCCTTAGTGTTCCTGTGGCTGAACCTTTGTTGAAGCTGTTAAAAAGTGTAAGAAGAAATTTTGACTGAGAGGCAGTGCCAGGACTATGTTGGACGATGTGATGGTCACACTGTCACTGAGCGAACCCCATTCACCCATTTTGAATGGCAATAGATCTGCACTCTGTTCCTGCCATTGAACACATGAAATAGAGGGAGCGACACGAAAATTATAGGCCAGAATCTTGGGTGCTAGCCCTATAAAGCTCCTCTTAATCTGCTAACCTTATTCATGAAGTAAGACCAGGGCACAGAGAACCTGAAAATGAAAGGACATAAATATGGAGAGACTCTATTGTTAGGATAGGAATAGCTAGTTAGTAAAAAGAAACTTCATGTGACTTACACTTCAACATTTACTGGCGTCATGTTTTAATATTTGTTTTTCTTCTAACAGGTAACTCTTCATACAGGACTGGAAGTTCCAAATCATATCAAACAAGGAAAATCCTTGTCATCCTGTAGCCCCAACAGCAAGTCTATGTATTGACTACCAATAAAGTGGCAAACTATCCAAGTATATTATGTTTGTTCTGAAACTCCTGATCCCATACGTAGCAAATCAATCAGAAAACCTTAAAAGAACTAAAATTTTTGCAGTTGCAACTAAACCTCAGTTACATTCCACAAGCATAACATGACATGACATCTTTCATTAATGTAAAATTCAAAAGTATTTTCACTACTAACACTTTTTAGTCAAATGAATGCCAATGTTTGTGTTAGCAAAGTTGAGGGAATTATAAACAAACAGAAGCTCCAGTTTCACTTTGTAGATAGCAGTTAAGCAGCAACCTCTTAACTGTTACCTTTTTATAAAAAATGTACCTCAGATTTTGAGATCATAATGTTAACTTTTAGGTGTACCACATAAAAACAGTTTGGGGTGTTTGGATAAAATCTTCATCTCTGAAAGGGAATTAAACTTCCTTTTAGCAGCAAGAGACATTATTTATATTAATTTTCCTCATTCCTCAAAATCTGCTTCCCTGTAACCTGTTTTCCTCACTGACAATTGACAAATGCCGAACAAAATAAATCAAGTATATTTAGATAACGGACAAGCCTGAGACACTAACATTTGTCCTGGTATTAATTGTCAAACTGCAAATCCTTCCATATGTCTTTGCCAAGCAGCAACAGCAGGAGTGTCTTCTGGTCAACCAAAACCATGTGGTAGCTGTAGCTCAACAACTACATGTTAGTCATGTTAAAAACACTCAATATCCAGTCTCTTGTCACAAGCTGTACTCTGTGGCAAACATTCTTCACATTTTAAGGAATTGTTGATATTGATGATTTAACCCTGAATAGGGATGGAGAGCCTCTGGGAAGTCCTGTCATTCTGTAAAGTGGCAGTGCTCTGGCATGCTGCCCATTGGCCGTGAAGCAGACGGTTAATCAGTTTGTCATAGCAACCAATGCATCTGGGATTTGCTGAATGCATCTGTCCATAGCTAATTCACAGCAGCTAATGATGTCCCAGTGACTCCCCAGTCCCATGGGGAGATAGGACAGTTGTGGAAAAATCAGAAATTATGTTTTCCAGAACTGTTTGGAGTAAAGTTTTAACTTCAGCAGGCAGTTTGTGATGTGCTTCTCCTAATTTTCATTTAATGATTAGGAACAATAAATAATCAAAAAAAGTTGTCTTCTCATTATCTCCAGTATAATGGTAATATTTTAAAATATTATGATTTTGTTTGCAGGATTATGTCTCTGAAGATAAATAGTCTGCACCTCTCCCATGTAAACCATGAGATAGTTATTTCAACATTTACCAGTACAGAGATGAATGCAGTTTAAATTAACAAATTAAATTTAATTCATTCTAGTCTTGACTGACAGTCATTGATCTTTATTCATTTATCTAATTACAGAAGGAGTATTCCCTTCTTTGCCTTGGAATTAGCCAGTATAAGTATTTTCATATATTTTCTTAATCAACATGTTCAGAAATGTTATTATACACCTCTGGAGTAGGTGAGACTTGAAGCCAGACCTCCTAGTTTGGAAGAATTGTCACTACCAACACACCACAAGAGCCCTTCATAAGGATTTTCATTGTGGAGGATATTGATCTGATGCAGCTGAATGGGTTAAAGAGGGACATGCAAAAGAGAAAATTGATTTGTGCTGCTGCTGAGCATTTTCTCATGACTAACTGCAGAACACAGTTACCAAACACCTTAGCCTATCCCTATCCTCTCTTGATCCAAGAATGATCAAAAAGACCTTTATCAAATTAAAAATTCAAATACTGAAACATTTTAGCATCTACATTAATGCACTTGTTTCTTTTTCAGTTTAATACATAAAGTATTTACAATACAGGAAGAAAATTTACAGAAAACAGTATGCAAGCAAACACTTGCAAATCTGTACGATGTAAACTAAATGTTGAAGGTTGTAAATTTAATAGGTCTGTTTTGTGATAGTGTCTGTTTTGCTAATCTAGTATGCTTTGAAAGGTAAATTGATGGTGGTGGCAGACACACAAAGTGTTTAAAGTGCTGTGGAAGGCTGTTGCTTTGCATGTATAGTTGAACAAAATTTGCCAATGTTTCCTTGATTATGCACTCTGGCGCTATTTAATTTAGTGATGTTCAAAACTTAGACAAAAGTTTTAGATAACATTTTTAAATTTTAAATTTAACATAATTCACCAAGATGATCATCAGACCTTTGTGTAGTAATAATAATAAGTACTGGTAATAGCCAATGACACCAAAGCATTAGCATTACCAGTCCTATTTTACAATAGGTCTGCATTCTAAAAGGCCGAGGGGCAGAATCTCCACAAAGACCCTCAGCATATCCTGCAGAAGATCAATGGAGAACCTGGAGAAAGAGCAGGCAAACACATGCAAAGGTTGAGGCAGGAGATCAGGAAATCTTTGTGACGTGTACTGTTCCTTGACCAGCATCCCCCAGCCAGACACACACCACACAGAGGTGTGCACAGATACCTCCCCCCCGTCCCCCCCACCCACCAAGGTTTTACCAATTCTTCCTTTGCCAGAAGATGCAGCTACAACTTTTAAATTTGACACCTTGGGGGAAGTTCAAGTCTTCAGGCTTGATAACCAGTCAACTGTCTTACCTTTGAAGTTTTGTATATGTTTAGAGGATCCTATACTTAGATACATCTTTACATGTGGGAAATGTTATACCTTTGATGGACAGTGTTAATTCTAATCCTTGTGAGTCAAACTGCAGAATCCTTCTGACATGAGTTGATTGGCTATTTTATTGAACAAAACAGAAATGCTGCACTTTAATCTTTATGATGCCAACAGACTGCACCTTGTAAATCAATTTATTAGTAGTTTTGTGCTAAAAGTTTGAAGTGTATATTCTTCTTATTGAAGCAATTCTGCTTATTAATTGATGAAGAGCTGTTGAATGAGGGTGTTAGCTTGCACAATGAGCTACCTTTACTAAATTGTAAATTCTATCCCAGTGTTGAGGGGATAACCCAGACTGACATTCCAGTCTTAAACTGTTGGAAGTGCCATATTTTGATGAAATTATGACCCTATGGCAGGGAAGTCTACATTCCTCATTCAACGTGAAACAAGTAAAAGAATAGAATGATTGGTCAATCATTGATTTCATCGCATTTTTGTGGGATCTTGCCATACGAGGTGGCTACTGTTTACCAGCCACTGTAATTCAATTATAATTAAATGTTATGATTTGTGGTAAGATGTTATATAAATGCAAATCTTCTTATTCAACAGACTAAAATTGATCCTGAGGAGTGCCCTGAACAGTAGTCACAATGGCATTTCAGATTAAAAGTAGAATACTATGATGTGTAATCGCACTGAGCTTAGTCTTACTGCAAAGCATCACTTATCTTGTTGGAGTCTACTGATAGCTTCTTAGGGTATGGAATTTCTTTAAGAATGGCCTCGAGTTCCTGTTCTATATCATTGTTAGAGACAACAAGGTGCAGGGCTGGATGAACACAGCAGGCCAAGCAGCAGATGC